TGGAGGCCATCTAGTCCAACCCGCTGCTCAAGCAGGAGACCCTACACCAGGGGTCCCCAAACTTGGCAACTTTAAGACTTGTGGACTTCAACTCCCAGAATTCTGCAGCCAGCTGGCTGGAGAATGTTGGGAGTTGAAGTCCACAAGTCTTAAAGTTGCCAAGTTTGGGGACCCCTGGTGTAGGGTCTCCTGCTTGAGCAGCGGGTTGGACTAGATGGCCTCCAAGATCCCTTCCAACTGTGTTACATTCTGTTATTATTCCGACCCAAATGCAGTAGGCAAGTAAAGAGTTGCGTTCTTTTCCTATCGTTGCCCTTCCTATCCTCGTTTACTGTTGAAAATGCCCCGCTGGCGGTACGACCCCAGCCTGCCCGAGTGGGGTCCCTTCCTGCGCTCTCCGTCGTCAGGAGACGCCGGAGCAGGACGGCAAGAGGCACGCAGAGCATCGCGACGGACTACTAAGGGGCGTTTGTTGCGCTCATCGAGGCGGGTCAAGGGGAGCGGGGCGGAAGGCAGAGATAGCCTCGCGATTGGCTGCAGCAGGTCACGGAGCAGAGCGTAGCTTGATTGGCTGGGTCGGATCATGTGGTGTGGAAGCCGATGGTGGCGGTGGGAGACACATAAACATGGAGGCCATCTTTCACGAGAGGGTGAGTGAGGCTCTTGCCTTCGCTTACGGAAGGTGGGGTGCGAGGTTAAAAAGAGGGCGAAGCGAGGGGGAAGGAGGGCGGCTCGCGGGGGAGCTTGCCCGACAAGCGAAAACTTTGCCGTTTCGGTTCCTTGGGTCGTTCAAAGGCTACGAAAATCTCTTTTTAGTCTTTTATACTTTTATATTCAAACCGCCGAGGGGTTTCCTGAGATTCGGAGGTACTTAGAAAAGGCAAGGCGGGCAAAGAGTTTCCAATAGGGAGGAGAGGATTGTGGCTATTATACGATAAAGGTCTGAGCTTTGAAACATTGTTGCCTTTCCCGTCGCCTGTCTCGGGAGGCGAAGTGGTCACGTTTGTGGAAAACGGACGCCTTTAAGATGATGCTTTTAAAGTATGTTCCCGTAGCTGGGTGGTGCAAGGAAGCGTTTTCTCTCCCAGGCTTACTAGTGAACCTTTCCGGAGCATCATCGGCCCCTAACCATGCTGGCAGGATCAATGAGCAAGAAAACAAGGAAGTGGGAGCTGAACATGGAGGACAAGAATACATGAATTGGTGTTACTAAACCCTAACATTTTATATGAGGTGCTGCATGTATATATCCTCCTTGTTNTCTTGTCCTTGAAAAAATGAATGTCTTTTATAATATAAAGTAAAACTATAGTTTATAGATCTCATTACAGCAGTTCTCATTCACAAAGAACTAAATTTCAGTAGTGATTTACAGCATTTGCATCATATAATTTGGGTAAAGATATAAATCATGCATTCACACAAATGACACTTATCAGTATAATAATGTATTATGTGTTTAACAGATATTCCTGAATTAGGGACACTTCCTCCCTAAAATAGTCAGTTGAAATGGAATTTCACTATATAAAGAATTAGACCAATAGGTTTTAAATATCTTACCAGCTACACATAATGACCTGACAGTCAGAATAAAATTGATGCTTCCCAGAGCAAATTGATTGTAATTAGCTGCTGATAATAAACAACTCAGGTGTATAATGTGACTTTTGGGGGGGGGGGAATCAAATTTTTTTTTTTCTTCCTATCATTTCCCCTCCAAATCAATTGGTTTTTCTGGAAGACCAAATTGGTTTTCAAATTGTATATTTGTTATCCTCCCTTAAATGTATTTTATATTTGGCCTGCTTAATGTAGATTCATAAAGGTTAATTCTTAATTAACAGCCCAGTGTTTTTCTTTTAATGAAATATGGTTGTTCCCCCACTCTCACTTTAGTTGAAACAATAGGATGGGTCCAGATTTAATCAGAGCAAACAAATTAAACTCAACGTGACTTTAGTCCTGACTACTGAAGTTCCATTGATTTCAGTGGTCTGTTCTGAGTATGACTATGTGAATTTAGTTAATATATTTGTCTTTATAGTTCTAAAATGGTTGCATTGCTTACATTTTATAACTGACTGATTTATCTCATGAAAAGTGCTGTTTTTTGACAGGTTATAAGCAATGCCTTGAAAGTTTGGGGTTTAGAACTAATCCTCTTCAACAGCCCAGAGTATCAGAGGCTCAGGATCGAACCTATGTAAGACTTTATTTTTTAGCTCCCTGCTTTCATTTAAAGAATAATAATAGTTATGCAAGAAAAAGAAAACCCTTATCCTTTCCTTCAGAACTCCTTTTGAAAATTACTATTTCAAGTTCTGGTTTCATCCACTCAGCATTTTCTGTTTCATATTATTGAGGCCTTACATGTTCATTTGTCCCCTGAGCCTTCATGACATCTCAGTATCTGTAGCATAATAGAATGCTGCTTTTGAATGGAATCTGCTTAATGACATCAACAGTATGTCTGTCTTTATCAAGCATATATAATGATAAATATATCTCTAAAACAATATTATTAAATATTCTGAACTATCTGTGGATGAAAAGTTCACGTAATCCGAATCGTAACTTTAATACTACAGTATGATGTTTCTAAATGCAAAAATGATAACATT